GTAAAAATTGAAAGTATTCTTAGAACTTCTGATTTATGACAGAAGCTATGTTGTTGTATAGGGAAAAGTTTCTGAGTCCATCAGAAAATGTGTGGTTCCAGAAAATGCCCATACTCCCCCCACGGAAGGGATAGGAAATTCCAGGGGGTGGAGGGGGGGGGGATTCTCAAAGGTCATGTATGTATGTAGAAATGTATGAAGCTTATATGTTGTTGGAATTTCTAGGAGGGTGGGGGGGGGGTGTTAGGATAAATCCCTTCTGTGGGGGAGGTATGGATAATTTATGGAGCTACACAATAGGAATTTTTGGACATTATTTCCATTGCAGAGACAAAACTTGTCATAGCATTAATGCCCCAAACATCTTAATATTTTTTTCAATGCAAAAATAGAAACAGAACAGTGATCTGAACATGAGCTCAACATAATAAAATAGCTGAGATGCTATTACATATTCATTATACACCTGAAAATTTCAACATCTTGAATACAAAGTTTCAGTTGCTAATTCGTGGTAGATATTATTCTTTAATAAAATCAGTTTTGGATGTTATGGCAGAAAAGATTTTTTTAAAGTAAAACTATAAACAAAAAATGACAATTATATGACTTTGTTTAACACACCACAGTTTTTTTGTGGTTTCTATGATCTAGTTCAAGTAAATCAATTGCTTGGCCAAAATTTGGGGCATTGGAACTAGTTTACTCTGAGAATAACCAATGGAGGTTCAGTGTGGCAGGAAATGTGCATCCTTAATATCATATAAAGTGTGTTTTGTTGTAAGACTTGAACTTTGTAAAATATTTCCATTGTTAGCATTGGGTGGAATTTTTTGTCGTCTCCACAACATGTGTGCACTTAGTTGTCACAAGAAATTACCAAATGCTTCTTCCGCCGACAACTATAGACCTATTTCGCTCATTCCCATTGTAAGCAAAATACAGGAACGCTGCGTGTTTAATCACCTTTATGAGCACGTCATACATCTGATCACCCTCTTACAGCACGGGTTTCTACGAAATCGATCGTGTGTCACACAATTACTGTCTGTTCTACACACCATAGGACAGTACCTGGATAAAAATGTACAGACGGACGTGATCTATTTGGATCTCGCTAAAGCGTTTGACACGGTGGACCATTGTATTCTCCTGTCTAAGTTAAGGGCCTACGGCGTTTCGGGGCAGCTACTAGCCTGGTTTTCAGACAATCTAAACGAGCGCGTCCAACGTGTAGTTGTTGATGGTGCTGTCTCGCAATGGGCACCAGTCACTTCCGGTGTCCCTCAGGGGAGTCTGTTGGGACCCCTGCTCTTCACGATCTTTATAAACGACCTGCCTGATGCAACTGTAGGAGGTGCGATGGCCGCATTATATGCCGACGACACCAAGGCATATCGCAGCATCAAAGGTGTTGAGGACTGCATATCTCTGCAGAACACCTTAACCAACATGAACGCATGGGCCATGCGAAATAACATTCGCTTTAACTCATCAAAATGCAAAGTCCTCTCAGTAACTCGCAAAAAAAGCCCATTTATCTACGGCTACAAACTCAATCATGTACAACTTGAGCGGGTCACAAGTGAGAAGGATGTCGGAGTTATTGTGACTAGCTCCCTTTCATGGGATTCACATGTCCATACCATCATCGCAAAAGCCAACAAGCTACTTGGGCTTCTAAAGCGTACATGCCCTTTTCTGACCGATGTTTCAGTCAGGCGGTCCCTCTATCTGGCTCTGGTAAAGTCACAACTGTGCTATGCAACGCAAGTGTGGTCCCCAGTCCAATTCAGTCTCAAAAGTCAGCTTGAAAGAGTACAAAGACGTGCAACAAGATGGATTCTAGGCACCAGAATTGGGGAAATGAGCTACCGAGACCGGCTTATCAAGCTGAATTTGCTCCCTCTCGCCTACGACCGCGAACTTAAGGACCTTGTGTTTCTTTACAAATGTCTGAATAACTACACGGATCTAAACATCCTTAACTTTGTTTCTTTTATTTCCCACGGCCGCACCAGACGAAGTAATTCCTTCAATCTCACAACACCTTCGTGTAAAACAAGTACCTTTCAGGCCTCCTATTTCAACCGAACTGTTAAACTCTGGAACTCTGTATGTACCTTATCACCCCCGTCCAAGTTTTCTAACCCGACCGCCTTTCAAACTTTTGTAGCTAAACACATGTTCTCTCTTGTCCGTTCAGTTTTTGATGTTAATAGTCCGTGCACGTGGTCAATTGTTAGGTCGTGTCCCTGTCATTGATTTTTAGTTATCTAGCACTTTTTCACCGTACGTTTTTACATTTTTTTTTTTTTTTTTTTTTTTTTTTTTTCGTTTTTATTAAGGGTAGTGCCCCGCATGGGACTCCATGTCCCGTTCGCACTGACCCTTTTGGCGTATGTCTATCCATTTTTTGTCTCTTTCCTTGTATATGTATTCATTTTGAGCTTGTAGACGTACCCAATAAAGTTGTTAAATAAATAAATAAATAAATACACTGCATGACCTTGTATGCATTATAGATATGTTGGTCTAAAAGAACATAAATATAGAGATTTTAAAAGCATTTCACATTTAGAGGAATTTTGAATTATATTTTTTGCATCAAATATTGTGGTTTCTCTGATGTCATCTCCGCAAGGGTCAGGTACAATTCTGAGTAATGTAAAATACCTGTGTGTATACCTTCTATAAGTAACCACACTATAAGAGATAAATTGAAGACCTGAAATTAAGATTTCACCTTATGGCATAAAACATATCTCCAAATGTCATCTCTGCAACAGACAAAATACTGTGGAATGACCCTTAATTTGAATAATTAACTGAGTTTGAACTGTATGCAGTCAAACCTCTATTAAAGTGTCTATCACTCTCAAATAGATATTTTCAGAATCAACTCTACGCGCATTGAATAGTTAAATGGTGAAATATTTCGTGTTTTGAACGTCGTGTTATTGAGTTATAGAGATTTGAATTTACAAAGTGCTAATTAGATGACATCAACCCGGGAATTTGCCATTACTTCTATACCAATTTAAATGCGCAGTTTACAGCCTGAGTATAATTAATTTGATGAATACAAAAAATAAACTGAGAATAGTCAATTGATTCTTAAAAAATATTACTCGGAGTTGAAAACAAGTAGTTGTATATTAAATGATTCCCAGGTTGATGTCATTAATTAGCATTTTGTAAATTCAAATCTATATAACTCAATAACACGACATTCAAAACAAATATTTCACCATTTCACTGTTCAATGTGTGTAGAGTAGATTCTGAAAATACGATTGTATTTAAGGGTGACAGGCACTTTAAGTGGCCATACTTTAATTAATTAATTACAGCCACCAACTATAACAGTCATTGTTTAATTCTAGAACCGGAGTGTCATGGTAGCAACTTCCAGACATGGTTTGTTCTCATTATTTGGTGGTGACAAACCTCTTCTCAGTTGTCATGATTTGAATATTGGGTATTGTGTCAACCCAGAAGAATCAGGGAGCAGAGCCTTATTCAAACAAATCATGGTGAGTTTGTTGTACTTCCTTAGTGGACATCCAACTATTCATTTCAGTAAAGCTGTTCTGATGGCGTATGACAGCTAAACTTTTTGTTAGTGGTTTTTATGCTTTCCATTGTTTAATTCGAAGGGGTGAGTCGAATAAAGCCGTGAGTGACTTCTGATCAACCGCTAGATTCTCCTTCCAGTTTGTTTTGTATATGCTCATGTAATGAAGGGAGAATTTGGCTGTAGATCAGGAGTCAGCTAGGGCCTAATATTCCAAACATTATTTGGAATAAAGCCCTAAGTGACTCCTGATCTGAAGCCAAATTGTTACATGTGCATATACAAGACAAACGGGAAGGAGAATCTAGCAGTTGATCAGAAGTCACTTAGGGATTATTCCAATCACCCCTTCATTTCGCACATTAAAATTTTCGAACACTACAAACACATGAAATTTGCCAAATTTTCGGTCATTTTAACTGTAAAAAAGGTCACCTGGAAATTTTTGGACAGCCTTTTTCGGAGAAATCACATTTTATTCCAAAGAATTATCGGCTATATAAATTTTCAGCTAGAACATGTGAACAGCTAATATTTTTCTAACGATATGTAGGTTTGTATATGTTTGATAAATACATGCGGTGCAATAATTTTTCCCACATACAGTACCGACAAGAACTATACTCCGCTAAAATTGCACCAAAAGCAGACCTGAGCAGACCGAACTTTCTGAAGTGAACCCGACCAAATTTCAAGCCCATATATAAGTTATATAGGTATGTGCCGCCTAATAGGGTCGCGTCTTTGAGCCTCTGGATCCATAAATAGGGTGGCTTTTTCGCGATTCTGGGTCTGCTCATGTTTGCCCTGATGTTTGCATGTGAAGCGGGGGTTAGTTCTAGTCGGTACTATAACTGCAACGACAATCCAATCGGAGGGTTCAATCGACGGTGAGGAAAGAGGCCTCACTACTCTATGTACAGTACCGCTCGCGTATACGTTAGCTGCGCAGGCGAATCTCACGCGCCCCGACGCAGGGTAGTCAGACACGTATATACGATTTTTTTTGCACGCTCGTCGAAAAAAACGCGCGATTCATGTGCCTTTGTTATTCAGTGTTATAAGTTTCCTTTGTATTTCATTGTTGTATTAAACAAAGGACTTCTAAGTTTGAAAAAGCGGTGAGTAGACAACGGAAGATTTGCATAATGAAAAAAAACTATCATGTTACACTCTCGAATGTCGCGTCGCTTTGCAAATTATTCGGATAACGAGTAGTAGCAGTAGATTGATGTTAACCATACTGATCATCAACTACATTTATGATTTGTAATGTTTATATTTGTCATATTACAGGATATCCAGACTGAGCAGGAATTCTCCCCGGGCAGATCGACGTGCTGGCACACATTAGCTATGTTCCTCGAACAGTCATTCAGGACGCTAAGTACCTTCTAAGAGGTAACGGTAACGTTGAACTTTTCATGGTCAAGGCAGTTACTAATATTCTACAAGGACTAGAAGACGACGCACCGCAGATTCCTGATAGGTGCAAACGTGTGCGTATCAGGTCACTAGCGATGACAAGTACTTGCAAGGCTATTGATATCTTTGAAATGAGGTGGTCACCATCAACCTTTTCCTGGTCTTGTTTGAAACCACCTGGATTCGATTTGAAAGAAGTATTCGTCGTTAGCCCTCTGGTTGAAGAAGCTGTTGTGCAGTATACGTTGGAAAATCCTAATTATTTAATGGATGTAGTAAGTATTGAATTTTTACTCGGGGGGGAGGCTTAATACTAAACTGACAGGGGGGGGGCTCAGCACCATTTATGGTGTAAAATTCCAGATATGGTACCATTTAGGGGAGGTGTTGAAAAATATAATTTTATAGTAAACTTGGTACCATTTAGGGTGTCAATTGATCACTAATTGGAATCTGGTTACCGGTTACCGATTTCAGAATTTCAGTGACAGGTTACCGATTTCAGCATTTCAGTTACTGGTGATCGATTTTAGACTTTCAGTTACCGGTTACCGAATCCCCGTTTGGTATACAAACAACATTTTTTCCATGCAAAACATTATAGTAAATGTGTTCGACTAGTACCTCGTCTAGTAACAACAAATTAAGCGCTAGAATGAGCAGACAACCAAAACATGTCGAATTCTTCACGACACATCTGAAATCGGTAACCGGTAACCAGATGCCAATAAGTCAATCAATTGATTTGTCGTGTAAAGCAGAGTACAAAAATATCACTCTCGGCCAGCTTTTCAGTCAACATACAGTACCTTTTAGGGGTCATTTTTAGGGCCACAGCCGAGCCCCCCCTGCTTTCAGTTCAGTATGGGAGCCGAACTCCCCCGCCCCACGGGGAACAAATCTGCAGGTCTATAGGCTGGTTAACCGCGGTCAAACTAGAGAAATTTGCAAGAGTTAAGCAAGGTACTTAAAAGTTAAGATTGTCGTTTTCACTGTTTATTAAAGTTTAATACATTGCCAATATATTTACCAAAATTTACCAAACGTTTTGAAAATTTACCAAAAAATTTCTAAATACTGTGAACTGCAGAATCGTCGGCGCCATTTGTCAACATAATTTGGATCAGGCGCAAAGAGTTTTGGTCAGTTTTCCACGGAAAAAGGCTCATCATTTTGAGAAAAATTAAAAGATAATAACGTGAACTAATTTTTTTACTCATTCTTGCTTACATTAAATAAAATCTCACTGAATAAAACGAAAAACGCCTCGGACGTTTGACCGCGGTGGAATAGGCTGGATACGTCCCTGCGTTTGGTAAATGAAAGAAATAATCATGACTTCATTCACCATTCATTCAGCGTGTCACGCCCCAAAGGATAAAGTATAATGAGGCTCCATCTCTTCATCAGGTGGATACCATAAAAGGCCTATCTGCAGGGAGACCTGGCAACGTAGTTGGCAAATACTGGAAGAAGCTGATATATAGCAATCTCAAGGAATGTGTGAAAAATGAGTATTCCTTCAAGGAAGAGGCATGTGGTTCCACTGCTGCTAGATCCTACTTAAATTTGTGTGGACATCAAAGCAAAACAGATATGAGAAAATCGCTAGAACAGATAATTAGAGATAAATATAGTGCAATGATAGTCCATTGTATGGGCGGCCGTCACCACCAAAAATACAAGGATGTCAAATAGATCAGCAAATACAGAGATGGTGTAAGGATCAGCTGCAGGATAGCATAGCTAATAAAGGAATGGCATGGCCAAATTATAGACAGTCTAGTTTTCCTTCGTGAAACAGAACACCCTAAACATGAATAGTTTAGCCTAATGAGAAACGGTCTAGTAGCCCATGTTGAGTTGGATCATGAGATTGTGAAATGGACTAGCTTAATTACGAATAGCTTAGCACTCATTTGCAATACAGTACTCAAACGGTGTAGCGTTGAGTTAAACGGCTCAGGGTAACGTCGAGTAGCACAGCGTACGCACAAACGGTGTAGCGTTGCGTCAAATGGCTCAGCGTAATTTAGAATGGTACAGCGTACACACATATGGTGTAGCGCTGCGGGAAATGGCTCAGCGTAATGTCGAATGGTACAGCGTACATAAAAACAGTGTAGCGTTGTGTGAAATGGCTCAGCGTAATGTCGAATGATACAGCGTACATGCAAACAGTGTAGCGTTGCGTGAAATGGCTTAGAGTAATGTCGAATGGTACAGCGTACATACAAACAGAGTAGCGTTGCGTGAAGTGGCTTAGCATAATGTCGAATGGCACAGCGTACACACAAATGGTGTAGCGTTGCGTGAAATAGCTCAGCGTAATGTAGAATGGTACAGCGTACACACAAATAGTGTAGCGTTAGGTCGAATAGCTTTGCAAAACATCAGACGCTCTATCTGAACATTAAATTACTTAGTATTACTTGAAATATTTCGATGTTGTGGCGAATCGTCGTGGCGTGACGTGAAGGCTATGCCATTCCTTTATTAGCTATGCTATCCTGCTATGGCGCGCCTTTCCGGTCAATATTCAAACAACCTTAATATACAATACATCCATTACATTCCTTTGCCATATTTTTTATTTCCTTTATGTAGATATATTTTTTTCGCCACTTTATTTTTCATTTTCCTTCTATATTTTTTAAATCTCTTCCTATCAATTTAGATACACGTGTTTAACGCATCTATTTTCTATTTTTTGTCTTTATCTTATATGCGTTCTATATTTTTTATATTCATTCCATATTTTTTTTTCGTTCCGAGTGGGATTTTTTATTTTCTTTCTAATTAGTATGCAACAAGTGATCACATGACCACGCTACACTTTTTCCATTCCGCCATTTTGGCGTTCGGCTTTATGGAGGAAGAGCTATCGACTGCTTGTCGTGCGGCCGCGGATGCTTTAGAGATTTTAAGTAATTTGAGACCTGGTTTTACGAGAAATGTAATACCTCGGATGAATTCAACGTCAGTCTCTGTCAGTCAGCCGAACAACGGGGATCGTAAGGTAAACAACGAGGAACTTCAGTCGAACGAACTTGCCATTCAGTCCTCGACGTCGCCAGCCTCTAACAGTTCTATTCAAGCTCGGCTTGCCACTCTCTTTCCGACAATTGGTTCGAACCGAGCTAGTGGGAAAAGCACTAGTAGAAGACCAGCAAGGTCAAAGCAGACCATTAAGTCGACCAAAGGCCGTCCACCCAAGACACTTGTCTACAAGGATCTAGTCCTTATTCCCAGTCCCAAGATCAACAAAGTGCCTACACATACAACCCGACTTCAGTTAGAAGAGAGAGAACTTGTCTGCCACGAGTTTCCCTTTGACAAGAGCTGGGATGCACATTCCCTCAAAGCTGCTATATTGAATCGATTTCCAAAGCTTTTGCTATTTGAATATGTCAAGGTGGGTAACTTTGCGTTGTGATATAAGTTTAAACATTGTTCTACGTTAATGCTTTAATAATATCATTGCTGTTCAGTTTGTACATTTGTTGTGGCTGCACTATTTTTAAATACGCATTTATACTATTTTGCCAAAAATTTAACCACATGAGAGGATACCTGCAGTGACGCGAGTAATGGACTTCGAATTTTTGGCAGAATTTGTTGGGTTATTTTAGATTTCCTCTGGTACTGCCCCGCTCCCACCCCTTTCTCCTTCCTTGTGATATAAGTTTAACTTAACTACTCTTTCATTAGATTTACCCTTGACTTTTGCAAGAAGCGTGCAAGTAATGTGTGTTTTTCTTAACCTAGCCATGCTATGGAAAGCTAATAACTCCTAAGCTGGCAGAAGGCATAACTCTGGATGCAGAAAGAGTGACCAGGATGGCTGGTCAAGGAGCTGTTTATGTTAGATCACTGGTGCCTTTGGAATCTGAAGATGAGGGTGAAACTGAAGAGGAGGTAGAGAATTCAGCATTAGATAACAGTCCAAGGTGAACTTTTTCTTGTGAATTTTTGCATTGAACAAAATAAAACCTGTATAGATTTCTTATAGCTTTTTTGCCTCACTGCAAAGGTAGCTTCTCGTTGCAGTGGAATCATCTTATATATGATAGACTGGTATCCCAGATCATGCTACTAGGCATGACAATGGCTTTTTGTTGGAAATATTATCTAGTTTGTCTCCAAACAGATTTGTGTATTTATTTATTTTATTGGTTATTTATTTATTTATTTATTTGTTTGCTCAGATCTTTATTCAATTGTTTGGCAGGACAGGACATAAATTAATGTGGTTTATTGCAACTCCATGTGATTGTGGATATTTGTATAAGGATGAACCTTCATAGTCTGTTACATCATTGCCAATTAGTTCCCTTTTTTTATGGTTTGTGACAAGTTGATATTTCCTTTTAGTGTTAGTGGAGCACAAAGAAGTTCTCTGTTGCTTTCATTTGGGGAGAGTGAAGAGAGGCCAGATGCAGCTGTGGTGTCCCACCCCTGCCAGGATGCTGCACAACCTTATTGTGTACCATTTCCAACTGAAGCAGAAACATTACATCAAAATACAGAGTTAAATGATGTAGAGACAGGCAGTAACTCTGATATTGTTCATGCATCATCTGAGCATGTACCTGTGTCTGTATCAGTACCTGTACCTCAACTGTTACCAAAACGTATCATCCAAGTGCACAGGCTAAATATTAAGAAGGATTTGATTGACTTATTCCGAGATCCATTAATTATGAGTCAGGACATAGAGATAATTGTTATTGATGCTAGGGGAGTTGAAGAAGTGGGAAGAGGTGTTGGGTTGCTCAGAGATGTTTTCTCTCTTTTTTGGAAAGAAACATATGATTCCCTTTTTGTTGGAGAAAATGAGCGTGTACCATTTGTAAGACATGATTATCAAAGGGATGAATGGGTTGCTGTTGGCAGAATTTTGGTGAAAGGATATTTAACCTGTCAATACCTACCAGTCCTTTTGTCTCAAACATTCCTTGCCTGTCTTTTTTGGGGGGAATCTGCAGTAACTAGTGCTATGCTGACTCAATCCTTTAGAAATTACATTTCAGTTGATGAAAAATGTTTGATTGACAAGTGCCTTGCTGGTGATATGAAGTGGGATGATGAAGATGAAATTTCCCAGCTTTTAGAAGTTTTTAGTAACTATGACTGTCGAATTATAGTAAATTCTGAGAATATTATTCAAGTTATTGAAGAAATAGCCCATAAGGAGCTGCTGCAGAAGCCACAGTATATTGCAGACTGCTGGAAGGATATAGTTTCCACACTCCTTCCTAGTTTTCCTGATTTTGCAGCAATTTCCAAAAGGTATGAATTTTTAATACCATCCACAAGCAAAATCCTTAGTTGCCTAGAGGCAAACCCTGAGAGTGATGGGGAAAGGGATAGCCTTAAGTTTCTCAAACGGTATATTAAGGGCCTTGACACGCCTCAGAAATTATCAAAGTTTGTAAGGTTTATCAGTGGGTCTGAGTTAATGCTTTTTGACGCAGTCCAAGTAAATTTTACTAACTTATCTGGTTTGGGTCGCCGACCAATTGCCCACACATGTAATACTGTGTTGGAGCTATCCTCGACTTATCAGTCATTTCCTGAACTTAGAGAGGAGTTCAGTGCAATACTTGCATCAGATTATTGGGAAATGGATATTGTGTAATATGCCTTGTGACAAAAAGAAGACCATTATGATGGCAAGCTGATAGAACAGACTGTTAATTCATTTTTGTAGTGAAATTATGTTTTCTACCTTGGATGGGTATTTACGATTTTAAAACATCTAACAATAGTGCACATATTATTTTCCAGTAAATCAAACTGGGAAATCGTTAGCTAATATATTGTTGTCTGTTCAAAGTTGACATTTTCAAGTGAGCGCAGTTGTTTAGAACTTTATTGTTGAGATTTTAATGTATTTTTTCTTGACTGTTGTAAAGGTTAAGTTGCATTCGTTGTTCTATTCTGATTGATACAATTTGAAGGCAATTAATAAATTTAACACTGTTTACGTTTTCAATCTGTAATAGTGGTACCTGTTTGATAGGCATTAATTGATCTTAACTCTCTGGCCCTGTTTTCACTCTCTAAACAACGAATTTCAGGTTAATTGAATGCTGGGAACACCTGTTTTGAAAGATAGTTACCAGCCAAGTTTCTTATATGTTGAACTGATTCCTGAGGATGTCTATGCATCTCAAATATTGAGTTCTACCATGTTCACCATCGTCATTCAAAGGGTGACAGGAGGCTTCCAAGATATGCAGTTGTTGTGGTGTGAGGTGAACATCAACTGCTGGTATTGAGACCTGGTAATCGTCGTCGTCTAACGGGATAGGTCCATCTGGATCAAACCCATACAATGGAATTTCATTTGGATGTAGAATACTTTCAACTCCAGAGTATCCAGAGTGCATGTTTTCCAAAATCCCAGAGGCAAAAATTTGTAGGGGAGATAATTGATGTTCACTGGAGACAGGGTGATTGTTCCATTGACTAGTAAAGTGTTGCAATGCCCTATTTATCCTTGGTATGTATACAAAGTGCAATGAAAATAAATGTACTTCATTTAACGGGTCAAGAAGACCCATGTCTTCCATTCCACTAAAGATATTGGCAAAGTGACAAAGGACACCAGCGTAAACATCCTTGTGAGCACGCTCAACGCGGCAGTTGTGGACAGAGCTTCCAGTTATGATACTTCCTCTGTTTAGTCCTCTATTTTCCAACATGTACTGTGCCACTCTAACATTTTCCAGTCCATGATCGCTTCTTACTCTTGAAGGTAAGCCAAACTCTTGTACTCCCTTGATGAAGAGCTCCAACACTGTATCTGCTCGGTTGTTATCAGTTAGGGTGGCATACACAATAACCCTTGAATACCCATCAACACAGCAATGCACAACAAACCTGTACCTGGTAAGCTTGTGGTTTCCGTCTATGTGCCACAAAGCGTTTGGCGTTGGTACAGAGTACTTTCGACGGTAAACCGGAGTACTCCAGCGAAGTGCTGTCCCAAGCGGGTCTTGTCTACGAAGACAGTAACGAACTCTCCATCGCTGGATTCGAAATCCCCTTGCTCGGAGAGCTCCAAGCAATCTTCGTTGTCCAATGTTTGGAGTAATGCTTCTAATTTCTTTGACAGCGTCTTCAAGCTGAGAATCTGAAAAGAAGTTCTAGTTTAATTCATAAAGTTTGAAGTGTCGTACATCATTGAGTGAGATGGGGAACCTAAAATATTTTGACTAAGGGTATGGATTCCAAGATTTGTTTTACCCGAAACTATATCACCCTTGTCCAAACACACTGATAATAAGCATTAAACCAAATAAGCTACTAGTACAGATAACCTTAGTCTGTAAATTACTGCGCACCTGACAATGCGGTCCAGTTTTCGCTGTCATCATCCAAATTTAATTCCCGTCTTCTTCGACGTAAAGTACTTTCACTGATACCTAACAAACTAGCGATTTTTACCCAGGAGAAATGCAGTTCGCGTAAGAATTCGATCTGCTCTCTTTCGATGACGATTACTGGTCTTCCTGCACTTGTTAGTTTAGTGGTAGGACAAGCGAATGAATTTCATATCGTTGCTTCAACGGAATTTCTTTCCTCGTACTTTGTCATTGCACGAAAAACAAAGCATACTTTTGTCAAAACAGCTTCTATTATTGTCTTGAAATCTCGAAGGACAGAGTCCTCACTTTGCCATACACTATGCAATAGCAACTGTAAAGTTAAAATTGCATCTTCCAGACGCACGTTAGCTTGTTCAAAGTAATCAGCGGAGACATCTTGTGTGTTCAAATTCTGAATACCAATCAACAGGGTACGAAGAGACTCTACGAAGTTGTATAGGCCTCTCTCGTTGCCACCTCTTAAAGTTCCATCCGCCATTTTGCTTTTGAAATTGTCGGAAAAGTGCATCGCGGTCATGTGATCACGTGTTGCATACTAATTAGAAAGAAAATAAAAAATCCCTCTCGAAACAAAAAAAAATATGGAATAAATATAAAAAATATAGAACGCATATAAGATAAAGAGTACAAAATAAAAAAAAGATGAGCTAAACACGTATATATAAAATAATAGGAAGAGATAAAAAATATAGAAGCAAAATGAAAAATAAAGAAGCAAAATAAAACAGCTACAGAAAGGAAATAAAAAATATGGCAAAGAAATGTAATGGATGTATTGTATATTAAGGTTGTTTGAATATTGACTGGAAAGGCGCGCCATATCCTGCAGCTGATCCTTAAGCCATCTTTGTATTTGCTGATCTATACGACATTCTTGTATTTTTGGTGGTGACGGCCGCCAAGGCATCTCGCCGAAACCACCAAAAGTACAAACCGCAAATGGAACAGCGATCTGCTTGGGGTATGACGTCATCGAATGTGAAGACTGACACGAAACCATTACATGGCGTAGTATAGTCTTCACTTCGCTTTGCCGTAAAGCAGAGCCAATTTGGTAAGTTTCTCCTCTTTTTTCACTGCTGATATTGCACTTATTCGTTGTCGTTCATGAAAGCGTCAATTAAAATAGCAACGAGACTGAATTCTACCACGCTTTGCCGGCCTCCCGGTTTACCACAGTTTGCACGCGTTGGTGGGCCTGAACATGTTTATAGTATTAAGTAGTGTTATGACGTGCATTAAATGTCAATTGTCGAGCTCTCTTTTCTTTCTCCGACTCACGCTTACTTTTCATTGAGAGTCCAACTTCAACGGCTCTTTGAACATTGGAGGAGTACGTGAGAAGTTGAATATTGTGTGTGCCCTGGACGGGCGACCCTAAAAGCCGGAACGGTGGAACGGTGGAACGGTGGAACGGTGGAATGGTGGAATGGTGGAACGGTGGAATGGTGGAACGGTGGAATGGTGGAACGGTGGAATGGCGGAACGGCGGAATGGCGGAAAATGACCCCAAATCCTAAAACACGGAACGGCGGAAAATGACCCCAAATCTTAAAACACGGAACGGCGGAAAATGACCCCAAATCCTAAAACACGGAACGGCGGAAAATGACCCCAAATCTTAAAACACGGAACGGCGGAAAATGACCCCAAATCCTAAAACACGGAACGGCGGAAAATGACCCCAAATTCTAAAACACGGAACGGCGGAAAATGACCCCAAATCCTAAAACACAGAACGGATGTCAGGGCATGTTGCACAAATTTTGTACAAAGACACCAAGCGCTTGGCTCATTTATCCCCACGACGATAACGCGCGTGACTAAAATTAAGTGTTATTAATTTTTTTTCTTTTACTGAGTGGTATAAATAATAATGAACCATTATGCATGAAAGATAGCTGCGTTTTCGCGTTGTAAACCTGTTTAGTTACCTTTTGTTATGCAAAATTTGCCATGAGTTTTAGTCGCGGCATAAAAAGTCGCACAGCATGTGAAAACCAACTCGACATACCACATTACAATAAACAATTATAACTTTGATACGTTTCCTGGTCACGTCTGCATTGATTTATTGAAACAATAATATCTCATATGCTTGTAAATGTGAGAACATCACATGAACGTTTTCAGGCTTCTCAAAATATGACAACGTTCAGCCCCAGCTCCAAACTTAGACTAGCGTGAGAGCAAGCCCTCGAGCCCTTCAATACGAGCGTTTTTTCATCCACAAATAAGTTTTGGGACTTGAGTAACACTAGTTGAAGAGAGGTTTACAGGGTGTCAGGCGCGTGGGAATTTCTCATGGCGTGAAAAGACAAAAGAAAGTTAGCAGAAGGAAGCCGTCAAGAAGAATTTGAAGAATTTCTTCGCGACCAGGTGTCCAAAACATCCTATTGTGAAATTTACGGCTTACATATCAGCGGAAGAAACAAACTTTCTGGACAAAAAAGGCTATTTCACTAATTCTTCTAATTTGCATGGTGAGAATAGATCCTGTCACTAGAACCCCGCTAACTCGAACCCGGCGAACTCGAAACCCCCGCTTACTCGAACTAGACCCAATTTCCCTTGGATTTGACCCCATTTTTTCCAGTCATTTGATAGCAGCAACTCCTAAAAGAAGGCATGGCGGAAAATTACCCCAAAGCCTAAAAGACGGAATTATAGGCAAGGCCAAAGGATCAAGAGAGGATTTGGGGTCATTTTCCGCCGTTCCATGTTTTAGGATCTGAGGTCATTTTCCGCCGTTCCATGTTTTAGGATCTGAGGTCATTTTCCGTCGTTCCGTGTTTTAGGATTTGGGGTCATTTTCCGCCGTTCCGTGTTTTAGGATTTGGGGTCATTTTCCGCCGTTCCGTGTTTTAGGATTTGGGGTCATTTTCCGCCGTTCCGTGTTTTAGGATTTGGGGTCATTTTCCGCTATTCCGCCATTCCACCATTCCACCATTCCGCCGTTCCGGCTTTTAGGGTCGCCCCCCTGGACGCCATGCTAAGAAAACTGCTATCCTTGATCTGTTTTGACATTTTTCGATCAAAGTGATATCGGAATGCTTTAATTGGTGTGCCGGACGATAAGAGTAAGCTAAGAGAAGACATATTTATTGTTTTAAAGAGGTGTTCATTATATTGCTTTGTTTATTTATTTTTTCCTGGGTGCAGTGATAGTAAAAGTAAGTTCCATTTTTATTTTGTCGATCAAACGTAGATTACATGTCTGGACCGGAAACAGTTAAAGGGTTTTTTTCGCGTTCCAAAATAGTTTTTGCCAGAGTAATATTTTTTCTGAGTTGGTTTTGCGCGCATACATACTTATCTTCCCTGTGCTCTTTCCCATTCCGTAGTCATCACGTATTAAGGAAGGCAAGTGCGGACACCGTAATGCACGTAGTTGTACGTAATTGTCCAACTCTAGATCGAGTTTTACCGTTCGATCTGTTACAGTCGCAACTTGCTGAATAAAAACTATTGCATAATTCAGACAATTGACAGGACATCTTGCTGTTTCGTCGTTTGTTTCGGTAGACGTATTTATTTATATTTTTATTTATTTTTACATTTCTGTACCTCAACTATTATTTTTTGTGATTATTATTATTATTATTATTATTATTATTGCTACAGACTGAGTTCAGTACACACTAGATATATTGACTAGAGTTGCGTGACCATGGCGTCCAGGGCACACACAAAATCCAACTTCTCACGTACTCCTGCAGTGTTCAAAGAACCGTTGAAGTTAAACTCCCTTTGAAAAGTAAGCGCAAGTCAGAAAAGAAAAGAAATGAGAGCTCGGCAATAGACATTAAATGCACATTTTAATAATAGTTAAGTTTAATAGTTAAATTAATAGATCGAACGGTAAAACTCGATCTAGAGTTGGACAATTACGTACAACTACGTGCATTACGATGCATTACTTTTACTATCACTGCACCCAGGAAAAAATTAATAAACAAAGCAATATAATGTACACCTTTTTAAAATAATAAATATGTCTTCTCTTAGCTTACTCTTATCGTCCGGCACACCAATTAAAGCATTCCAATATCACTTTGATCGAAAAATGTCAAAACAGATCAAGGATAGCAGTTTTCTTAGCATGGCGTCCAGGGCACACACAATATTCAACTTCTCACGTACTCCTCCAATGTTCAAAGAGCCGTTGAAGTTGGACTCTCATTGAAAAGTAAGCGTGAGTCGGAGAAAGAAAAGAGAGCTCGACAATTGACATTTAATGCACGTCATAACACTACTTAATACTATAAACATGTTCAGGCCCACCAACGCGTGCAAACTGTGGTAAACCGGGAGGCCGGCAAAGCGTGGTAGAATTCAGTCTCGTTGCTATTTTGATTGACGCTTTCATGAACGACAACGAATAAGTGCAATATCAGCAGTGAAAAAAGAGGAGAAACTTACCAAATTGGCTCTGCTTTACGGCAAAGCGAAGTGAAGACTATACTACGCCATGTAATGGTTTCGTGTCAGTCTTCACATTCGATGACGTCATACCCCAAGCAGATCGCTGTTCCATTTGCGGTTTGTATTTTTGGTGGTTTCGGCGAGATGCCTTGGCGGCCGTCACCACCAAAAATACAAGAATGTCGTATAGATCAGCAAATACAAAGATGGCTTAAGGATCAGCTGCAGGATAGCATAGCTAATAAAGGAATGGCATAGCCTTCACGTCACGCCACGACGATTCGCCACAACATCGAAATATTTCAAGTAATACTAAGCAATTTAATGTTCAGATAGAGCGTCTGATGTTTTGCAAAGCTATTCGACCTAACGCTACACTATTTGTGTGTACGCTGTACCATTCTACATTACGATGAGCCATTTCACGCAACGCTACACCATTTGTGTGTACGCTGTACCATTCGACATTATGCTAAGCCACTTCACGCAACGCTACTCTGTTTGTATGTACGCTGTACCATTCGACATTACTCTAAGCCATTTCACGCAACGCTACACTGTTTGCATGTACGCTGTACCATTCGACATTACGCTGAGCCATTTCACACAACGCTACACTGTTTTTATGTACGCTATATCATTCGACATTACGCTGAGCCATTTCCCGCAGCGCTACACCATATGTGTGTACGCTGTACCATTCTACATTAAGCTGAGCCATTTGACGCAACGCTACACCGTTTGTGCGTACGCTGTGCTACTCGACGTTACCCTGAGCCGTTTAACTCAACGCTACACCGTTTGAGTACTGTATTGCAAATGAGTGTTAAGCTATTCGTAATTGAGCTAGTCCATTTCACAATCTCATGTTCCAACTCAACATGGGCTTCTAGACCGTTTCTCATTTGGCTAAACTATTCATGTTTAGGGTGTTCTGTTTCACGAAGGAAAACTAGACTGTCTATAATTTGGCCATGCCATTCCTTTATTAGCTATGCTATCCTGCAGCTGATCCTTACACCATCTCTGTATTTGCTGATCTATTTGACATCCTTGTATTTTTGGTGGTGACGGCCGCCCATACCATTGTCCTAATACCAACGCCTTTGACTTGGTCATCTTTGATAAATGCAACAAAATTCATGCCATTCAGGTAACCGTTCAAACCGCTGCGAAGAAATGTAACGACAGTGACTTTTTCAAGACTGAAAATTTTCACTTTAAGTGTTTACTAGCGCCTTATGAGGTCGACGTCAACGCTATTAAATTGAAATAAAAGTTATATGATGCATATGTGGCGTATGGTTTGCGAATTGTAAATGGAGCCAGTTTCCTAACTCAGAAAGAATTGAATACTTTTCAATTTGTAGTCGAAGCCACTTAAAGATCTGTCTTGGCGTGGATTAATAAAACGGCTATTTCATTTTCAACATTTTAATTGTTCATGTGGAAAAAGGGACTTCCCTTCTTGAGGCTTGAAAGAAAACACCCCGAACATACGGAAGATTACCGAGGTTTACCCCCAATTATTTTGAAAACGAGCGCAGTCACCCCCATTTTTATTTCATTCATTTTCTGAACTTCACTTGTATCGATCTTTGTTTATGCAAAGTTTAAAAACTTTTCTATAAGTCCCAAACTACCTTAAAATATTTACGTATATATATATATATATATATATATATTAATTAGACTACTATATATTATTTAGGTGGATATAACGAGACGAGATTATACAAACAAGGACATGTGTCAAGAACTACAAAAGTAGTTCAAATTTTCTACCGCCATAGGGAACAAAACAAAACGAGGTCTGAATTGCCCTTATTCTTAATGACGTCACATCAGAACATCATGATTAAGAGCAATTAAAAACAATAAACGGAACATTTATTGGACGCTAAAAAAATTGACAGTGAAATGAAGAACTTTCTTAATTAAGCATTGTAATATAGCATTTGTAGCATAGATTTCGTAATTCCAAAAAAATATCCATCCCACTCCCGCCCCCACGGATGGATTTTCCCCACACAGCCCTTTGGAAACAATTTTTACCGATTAGAGAGTTACTCTAAACCTCACCCTGAATGGATAATTTGGGAGGGGAAGCTCTTGATCTTTTGAGTTCCCGTTTGTAATTTTCATAATGAAAAAAAAAAAATCCAGCGACCCTCTAATACACGGACTACTTTTCATGTCACACACTTAAAGGCATAAATACGGGATTCGCGAAAGGAGAAGCCTTACGCCTCCTAAGACCAAATTCGTCACGTTCAACTTTTAACAAAAACGTACAGAGTTTCAAATATGCTTAAAGAATCTTTATTATCACATCGCAAACAAAAGTCATTAAATGTTATTCTAATAGCAGCTAAGCTTTCAAGTTAGCAGATTTAAAAGCGCAAGCGAATGGCAGGAGTCGCACAAGCCTATCAACCCCTTTTAACCATCGACAACCTTCTGTTTTCGGCATAGGGTAAAATATGGACTGGACCATTTTTTGGACCATTTTTTAGACCATTTTATAGAGGGGGAAGCACACCATTAGTACTCAGGGAGGGGTGGGATGCAGTCTACTGGTACTGAGGGAGGGGTGGAAGGCAGTGTTATTACTCAGGGAGGGGTGAGAAAAGGACTATTGCTAGGCAGGGAGAGATGAGAGGTGGATGTAATAGTTAACACTACTTGTTAATGGAGCTTTTACTCGATCGTACAAATTTTTTAATTTTTTGAATGTTCTTCATTTTTGTCGTCATGCGAAAGCGAAACTGCCACGTAAACACTGGACTTCGATTTCTATTGAAAATATCGGGTTTAAGATCCCCTACTGTTGAGTTATGCCTGTGCCTTTTGAGTCGACTTGTGTACCATCAGTTGCTTCACGTTTCCCTTTGTGTACACAGTATGTAATTACTAAATTTATCTATCTTACTTTTGTCATTCATCTTATCAGACGAGATCACGAAATTTCCGTTCCTTAGCCCTTAACTTAGCAGCATATAGAATTCACAAGTGCTCTTGCAATTTTAACGTCTATACCTTTTCTATATAAAATAATTAGCAAACGATTTCGAAGAGGAATCCATATTCTCGTATCGAGCAAAAGCACTGCTTTACTTGTAATATGGGAAAGATGGGAAAGCGCAAATATCGATTTTATCTGTTTCGCAAACAAAGGAGTTAATCACCCACACCGGAAATAGCGACCAGACATTCCTCGCGACTCCCGTACGCTTGTTTTCCAATTTGCCTGGGCCGCTGCCAATCACTTCTTGTGTAAAAACCTACGTAATCTGCTAAGTGGAAGTACAGTGGCTACTGTTGCTTACCGATATTTTCCGTCGGCAAAACGTAGAAGTCAGTAAATGTGACCGATTCTGCCCGGAAAATTTTATTGTCTGGAGCTTGGATATGTCAGGAGAGTTTCATTGACAGCTGGATTAATTACACCCCATGTTGTGAAACCATTATGAAGACATCGCGCTTTCCTTCGCTTTTTTTGTCACATACAGAAAAAGGAAACGTGAGGCAACTGAAAGATGATTCATGCTAACCCGTCGGTATCACTTAGCACTGGCACAAGTCGACCTAACAGGCACACGTATAACTTAATAGTGGAGGATCGAAAACAGGAATGGAATTGGTGATATTTTCAATGACAATTATAGTCCAGTGTTTAAGTGCCAGTTTCGCATTCGCATGACAAAAGATTAAAGAAACGCTACGGCCTAGCGCAAAAATTTTGACATACAAATAGTCAGTCGAAAAGCCGCTCAAAATAATTTGTATGATTCAATGAACACTCCATAAATCAGTAGCAGTTACCAGTATGTCAACTTCCCACCCCTCCCTGCGTACTAGTACTTCTTTCTCCACTAGTAGCAACAGTCTGCCTTTGGGTATACAGTATGTAATTATCAAATTTATCTATCTTCCTTTTGTCATTCATCTTATCAGACACGATCACGAAATTTCCGTTCCTTAGCCCTTAACTTAGCAGCACATAGAATTCACCAGCGCTCTTACAATTTTAAGGTTTATACCTTTACTACATAAAATCACTGTTAGTACAATCGTACAAAGCAATCTTTTCTCTTTTCAGAGACTCAGTTTTCTCTTTTCAGATAAAATGAACACACACTTGAGTGTGATGTCACGCATTCCAATTCTTACATTGATGATCAAAACAGCACAACTTCAGCACTGGGTAATTTTTCAAATAACATTTTCGCCTTTAATAGCTTAAGGGCACACATTTTCTTTCATATGGCCCCTGCATTGATTCATTAAATTAACACAAGTGCAAATTACAGAATTAACTTTTTGGGAAAATAACATATCTCTAATTTACAAAGGAATCATTTCCCTTTCGCAAATTACCGATCCGATTAAATTAATCTCACAAATAACACGTTTTCATTTTGTTCCGTTTCGTAAATATTACAGTAAGCCCTCTCAGAGACAATGACAAAACGACTTCGACATTTCGCAAAGACTCGAGAGAAAACTTTCCAATTTCTGAAACAGTCAGAGTTCAATAAATGTTTGCTAACTGCAGGCCAAATCAAAATATTATGCACTAATAGGAAAAACCAAATTGTACAAATAAAGTTTTAAGTGTGCGGGCTGTGCGGAAATGGGCCACGGTAACTTTTCTGTCTACACATGTTATAGCACCTTTTGTTGTGATTGTATGTCATCAAACAAAACAGTGACCGTCACATATTAATAAATGGTGAGAATTTATCATTTCCTGCATTTGGCATTTTTTTTCCCCATATGTACTCTAGAGACCTAGCTCTTTCTGTATATGATTTCGATGAACTTCGAGTAATTCACGCTTAACGGCCGCCGGAATGATCACCAAGAAGGGAATAAATTGGGGCTGCAGTTTTTGGACGCACTCAACCTTACAGTGAAAGTAAACGTTTCCTAATCGTCCAGTCTTTTGCTCTCCATTCTGCCAGTAGGCCCATCTCGCGCTTGATATTATGACGAGGTCTTCTGGTGGGTTGGGAATAAAAAAGTCTTCACCACGCCTTAGTTTCAAGACACCCTTACACCCGTAACACCTTCTCACCAGAGGGCTGCATCTTTTAAGAAGGCTCAACTGGAAACTACCTTCTTGAACTGCCGGCGTTGATGTGTTGGGGCTATTATTCTGCAGATAGAATAAAATCAATGGCATTTTAGTTAACAGCCAAGATTAGTCGGTGGCTGCGTGGGAATTATGCAACGAGCCGACGGTCTCGCCAGATGCTAAATCCTTATAAACCTTATGTCCTGCAGGCCATTTCTACAAATGAAAGGTTCTGTGATTAGGAGAACTGTTTTTTTCGACTTGCCGCGCATTATCACGACAAGCTTTATTTGATAGAGTTTTTATTTCGTTCAACCCAATTAGCTCACCAGTTAGTGAAATAGAACGACTTGCACAGAGCTAACATATAGCGGGACTTTACCATGATCATAGACGATATAAAAAATCAAACGGTTGGCAGCATAATCACACAAAAAAATTTGAAACCTTTCACCGATCTAAAACCCGAGATAACAGAATCACGCATTACACCCTGTATTAACTGTGAATGATCCTTACAATATATACATACCTGAGGCTCTTCTGTGTATTTTTGTGTTGTTGTCTTCTCTGCTTCCTTCTCTGTGCCTCTGTTTCCTGGGGATCTTACTAAAGTCGACGCCGGATTCGATGCTGATTGATCAGTTGGAGAGGTGTTAGTGTAACTCTCCACAACTTCCTTTCTTTTTTTATTTGTAGCACCTTTCCTTCTTTGTGTTGCCATGGTCTTTTTTGACCCACGTCCAGGAGGGAGGTCCATGTGAATCAAGGCATCCACGTTAGGAGGCCTTTGGTTCCTTGTCTTGTAACAATGAACGAACTCAGTCAATGAACGACCCATTTCAGCCACAGCTAAAGTATGAGCACAAATGTCATACGCTTTAAAATCGATACAAGTGCCGCTGCACACATAATATGTTCCACGTCGCACAGAACGTTTCTTGCAAACTGCATACGATGGAGCATCAACTGCCTCGTTTGCCACACAACGTGGCAAATTGTCCCCTCTTCCAGGATCGGGATGAATGTTTTCTTCTTTGCGCGCCAAAATCAACGATGCACGATGGTACATACGTGCTAGTATACTGAAGGGAACCCGAATAATGCCAAAATCTTCTTGAGGTCAACTCAATGGTGACATTGTGTCCGCTTCATTTGTGTTTTCCAGGTTGATAGGAATTATGTAAACTGTCTTTACTGGGAGATTGTGAAATTTTTTGAGCGCCGCTTCTTGTTGCGCTCTCGTCTTCCCGTAAAAGACAGACTCCTTCATTCCCTCTTCCTCGTAATTTTTGTCCATTTTTAGCTCTCCGAGCCCAATAAATGCTAAATCCTCTTCTGTTCTCTGTCTTTTCACCACCGTCTGCAGCAACCTGGCAAATTCGGGAATGGAAAGCTTCCTTTTCCTTGTAAGTTGTTTCTCTCTTTGTAGAACCGAGTTCATACATTCATTTCCGTTCTGATCGTATACACCTGGTGGCCAGCCTAGACCAGCCATGGTTCTCAATTCAGCTGTCATCGTTTGCCTTATAATTTCCGCTTTATACTTACAAAAGTAAGTAACAAAGCGCTCTGAGAGTGGGTGTAAGGAAAGCCACTCCTCCTTCATTTTTTCCAGATTGGTCGAACTGAACTGAATTGGATGAACTGGGCGGGGCTTTCCGAGTCTATAAGACCAGGAACCCTCTCACAACCAATATCTCCTCCGAAGATGTCACTTAGAATGACTTCTGATTGTTTGCCCCGTATTCCAAGTTCGTTCATTTTTGACACTATGTTTTCTTTCATATGCAGGTCACAGAGTAAATGCTGGGCATAAGGGAGAGGTCTACCGAAACCCTCACCCAATGCCTTTTCTCCGTCAGTACAATATACTAGAACATTTTGGGTTTTTGCATTCAGCTTTATCATGGTAGACGAGAGCTCGTAATATCTGGATGGTTCTTTTTTGTGGTGTACTAGGGTTGGTCCAATCCAGACTGGATTCTTGTCTTCTTTGGTTCGGAGAAGGAGATGCCTGTATGTAGTAAGAGTCACATAATAGTCTCCAAAAATTGAAAGTGGGATCGACTCCTAAAATACTGAACTGGCTAGGATTTGTGCAAAATCTTTCCACGTCCTTAAGTTGCTGGTCAGTGGTTAGGACAACACAAGGATCTGACGAGGTCTCTACTTTACGGACGAAGGCGTTGTCTTTGTCTCTGTTTCCTTGCTTCGCATGTCTATCAGCTCGAGTGTAGAATCCCCAGGTTGCTCTTCCATGGTTTTTTTAATGTTCTTTATCTGTTTTAGATTTCTGGCATGGCTAGCTGCGCTAAAGTCTGAAATTGTTCCCTTTTCTTCGATACTCTTGAAAAACACCGTCTTGGGAGAGTCAGATTTCGCGGGCTCTTTTAACCGCTCCATGGTAGTATGCGAAGTGCGGTAATACTCTTTGGAAAGACTTTTAAAATTGCCATGTGGTTTAACTTTAACTTCGTGTTCATTATCATCAAAAACATATTGCAGAAGAGCAAAATCGTGAATCGTTCCGTTGGAATCTGAAAAAGGAGAAGATGAAAATTAATAAAGGTTTTGATATTTGAATACACTTGGTAACCAGATGTTGTGCACTGGTGTGATATGCTGTATTGATTAAAACCCCCTTTTGCTGGTCAGATTTGTTACATTATGACTAATGAGGACGTAAATTTTTTTACGGTGAGGTTTTGAAGATGGACGTTTTTCACTCGAATATAGAAAAATTTTGTTTTGTTTTGTTTTTGTCAATAATTTTGTTTCCTATTTTTGGCCACACAGCACTTTTCGGAGCACGCCATAGTTTACTTATTTCACTTGAGCAGTTTGACCCTTGGTTTAAATTGACTTTCTCTTTCTTCGGAAGCTTTTTTCATGATCCATGTTACAAATGTCTTACTAACCTCAACTGTTTATTCATTGTGACAGGAACCTCTCAAACTGAGGCCTTGTCGTAATGACCTCGCTATCGCTAGGTTAATACCGCTAGGCCTCCATTTGAGATTTTTCCATAAGGACCTCACTGTTATTTATTTGTTAAAATAGTCTTACCTGTCAGATAAATGAAAATCCTTTGCAAATCGGGGGAGGATTCATTCCTGTAGAAGCTTCTGGTACATTTATAGACCTGTGCCTCATGATCATCATATTCTGATTGGGAAGCCTTACGAACAGGATTCCTCTTGGTGGAAGCACGGTAGTATCATACTATATACTATATAGTATATCATACTATAATACATTGCTGTTTCGTCCCAGTTGGATTCCATGCACCAAGGTCGTCGCCAGAATATTTTTAAAGTGCTTTATGTGTGGGGCAGATATTTGGACCACAAAGACAGAATTTTCGGAGACAGCGGAAGGAACAGCACGTGCAATAAGTTCTCGAGGCGGATGGAAGAGGATATCTACCACTTTCTTGGAAGCCAAACCCGTAAGCAATCCCTGTCGGTAGATGGGAAACATTGGGTCGTCGTTCAAGTAATCAGTTCCTTGTTCGTCTTCACTGCTATCGCTGGAGTCGTTCAACTGGTGTGTCAGCACTTTCTTATTTACCTTTTCAGCCACATCTCTATGGAAGACAGTAAAAGAATTTCATCGGTTTCTCAAACGCCACAGCGGGAGGGCAAAATTCTCTAACGTTTCGTGTAAGGTGTGGTGATCGCTCACCGACATCGTTTTGAAATAATCAGACAATTAAAATATACCCTTCAGAGTTAATTGTTCGTAAACGCGTTCAATGACTCCACTGTTACTACGGAAATTTTATGGTATATATATTTGAGTGACTCACTTTTCTGATGCAAAGACTGGTTTGAAAAGGCACTCATCGCTGTCGCTCGTCTCAATATCCACACACACCCTTGATAAGAAAAAAAAATCAGACTGATTTATTGTTAGGTATAATTGTTTGAATTGTATGAAATAATTTAAATACTCCAGTCGAAAGTCGAGAGCAGTATTCTTGATTGTAACTTTTGTTAATTGAAAGTTCAGGTCGCATTGGTCACCGGAAAACTTGCTCGAGCAAACGACCGAACGAGTTTCGATTAATACAAGCACAAAAAAGCCCATTCTCTTGATAATAAAATATATTGTACGGAAACGTAAAGGAAGGCACCAATAATATTGGCAACCAGTGTTACCTTTTGACTGGCGAATCAATGAGCGTCAAGTTTACTTTCTCAACCACAGCGGTTTTCTCATGAGGTATTTTGCCTGTAGTCTTGTCACAGTTGTAATCATGCAAGAAGAAAATATGACGTCAAATTCAGGAAACAAGCACTAGCAGAGGACCCAACCAATTTTCTTTTTTGCAAGAGGCCTACTTCTCTATACGGGAATCAACCTAAAGGGAGAACTGAGGACTCCTCTTCACAGTGCATGTTGCGTTTTATAAATCAAATCATTTTATATTACACTCCCGGGATTTTCTACCAATCAAATATTTTTCCAAGTTAATTTAACTTCAAAACCCTCTGCTTCCAGATACTAAAAAGTGTATTTTTAACAGATGAACTGAAGCGCGTGACTAATATAGCAGTACAGGCTTAAATGGGGTAACATTGGCCCATTGTAAGCCGTCGAAAGCCAAAAGATTCAAACTTCAATTTTATGGATTCAAAGTTCCAAATTACCTGACAAAAATTTGATTTTTGTCGCCCGTGAAAATAGATCCTTCTCACGTGCTCTTATTTTCACGATCGTGATCGGAACGCGAGATCTGGCCATCTACGCAAGCATTGGTTTTCGCGTTAACAGTCCACTTAAACAATTCAAGTTCTGTCAAGTAAAATTTTGAAAACGATAAGAAAATTTTACCATTAAAACAATCCCCAAAAACAGGAGACTCAGCGGTTACTTCTGCATCACAACGAATAACGTCGCAAATTGCTCATAACATTTCCTATATGGTTTGTGCCATTTCACTGAAAGGTTCGTGCCAACTTGCACAGGTTATTTTAAACGCAGCCCGAAAATACTTACCCGAACACGCTTGTTCTCCTTTTTGTACTTGCAGCAGAATCTCGAAGTGGGTTCTTCATCGCCTGAACTATCCACCTACACAAGCAGACTACTTGTCATTTTTTAATTAACAGACTGAAAAAGCCATCCTTAGCCCAACAGATTGCCCTTCCCTGGATTTGCCCTTAAATAACATGTCATTCTCCATGTCAACACCCTAAGAAATATATAGAGAACAGTATGCATGTATAATATGCATACTAACGTTAAGGCGTAAATTTTTCAAACTAAAAAGGAAATTTAGACGAATGGCACCTTAAACTGAGGGGGATTTGCAAATAACCTTTTAGAGTTTGACTGTTAAAGAGATACGTTGGACATAATAAAGACACTTCACCTCCATTAAGCGCCTTCATAATTTTCTTGTATGATCCCATTTCTTCTGGGCCAACAAGAACGACACTCAGACCCTCCCTGCTTGCTCTAGCTGTCCGTCTACTGCGGTGAATGTAAAGCTGTCAACGAACACAGAGAAAGAATTTAGGAACGCAGAATCACATAAGATGGTTGCGCTAAAGTTAATACTTACATTGTGGTTACATTACACAACAGTTCATGATTAAATGAGATACAACTAAGGACGATAAACAATAACAAAAGTACTCCTCTCATATAAACTGCATTTGAACAGAGTCAATTTTTTTCCTAAATCAAAACTCATTAACTGAAATGAATTATGTTTTGATTTCGGTAGGTGAACCTCACACATTAACTCAAATCGGAAACAAAACAAAGATTTAGAAAATGAAGTTTTAGAAATAACTAAATATATGCAATTAAATAAATTTAGAGGTAAATAAAGAATTCAGGCGTCAACGACGTTCGAACTTTGCTATCCACATTCTGGTTGAGCTTCTCTTACAGTTGAGACTTGTAGCCCACACCTTGGTCAACGCATGGTTGGTTGAAGCAGTGTGACTTCCGAAGCCTTTTGTCAAGGTAGAGTTTCGCGGAGAATGAAAGCACTGCCGCCAAAAAGCAATCGCTCCCGTTCCCGCCTGCCGCACAGGCTAACCAACTGCACAAGCTAACCAACCGTACACACATACTTACACGTACTTACATCAAGGTCCTTCGGAACTTGATAGTGAATCACATGCTCAACAGCTGGTATGTCCAAACCTCTCCCGGCCACATCTGTAGCCAGAAGTAAGCCACTCGCACTTTGCTTAAATTTAACAGGCAAGAAAAGAATCAGCCAAAATTTCATTGGCTGGTGTGAGTCCTATCTAGCTTTAGATATTCTCTGAGGGAGGAGAGGGGCGGGTTTTAATCAGTCAAGGCGATCCAGTTATAGTCTATCAAAAAAGGAAATTCCATTGGTCGGTTAGTTCGTAAACTATACTCACTGTTTTGATGAAAAAAAATAGTGATAAGATCAGGATGATTCTGATCCAAGGCCACATAGCACGCGTGTCACCCAGTGTTTTGCGCAAAGCAAGTTGCGCAGTAAAGAACGTGAAGGACGCAACAGGAAAATAGCACGTTGTCTACAAAATTGGGTTCCTAATAGTTGCTTTGTTTTGTTGAGTTTTTTGTTTGGTTTTTTTTTTGTTCTGGTTTTTGTTTGTTTCGTTTGTTTCATTGTCTTTTGTATTTTTGTTTTTTCCATCCCACTCAGTTTTCACCCGGCCTGTCTAAATTCTTTAATCTTTGCCTTTGTTGCATGCTGGCGTGCAGAACCCACGGGTTAAAGTCCAGGAGCCTACACAAAGAGCCCAGTCTCCTCACGCAGTCTACAGTTTTGGAGAAAACCAAAGTACGGCCTGGGTATCGGGAAAGGAAATAGTGGAGATATAGGTCCTAGAAAGAAAATTCAAATAAATCTGAATGAGGTGATTTTACAACAACTGTATGTTTCTTAGTTCTCCTTCGATTTCACTTGGTACACCTCTGTGGCTCCGTGGATCATGTTCCTAGACAGTGCGGTGTACATGTAGATACATTTGGCTCAAACCAACAATAAAAAGTAGTAAAAATTGTATCCTGAATCTCGAAGTTTTTCTCTTCCTTGTCAGCTCAACAATTACAAACCTTCTCTTCAATTACACATGAGATCTTTGCTTCTGTCAGGGTTTCTACGGATCCTCTCTTGTTGGTGACATCGATAATTTTAAAACTGTTCTTCTGCAGCCCAACTTTGTCCATCAGCGACACTAAAAATGTAAAATGCAAAGAGTATTGCTGTTAACGGAAGAACACAAGCCGATCAACTTAATCATGTTTAACTAAGATGTTAGATAACAAAGACAAAAACAAAACAACACAATACAAGCTTCGACACACTTCATAAAGCAGCAAATTTTCGGGTTTTAAATGATGGATTATTTAAATCATTTCATTCCTTCAGTAATAGCTGATAAAAAACGTTGATACTATCTCTAGCTTCTATTACTCTGAGTCAAATAAGCCGTGATTTACCAAAGCCTTCTTCACTTGCGATCTTCTTTTCTTTTCCTTTCCTCTTAAACGACTTTGGAAGAGTTAAAGTTGCAGAGAAAATAAACTTCTGTAGATGTCTTCGCTTTGCAGTTCCCTCATCTTCATCATAATCACTGCGAAAAGGAAACATTAAAGTTAAAATTTCAGTTTACAAGTTGACAGTCATGAAAACCATTAATTTCAGAAAGAGAAGCCTGAGAGAAATTCAAGCTCCGATGGAAATTGAAGTCCATTGCCTCTTTCTATGAATGAGGTCCAATATTGAAGATAATTCTTGAAAGTGGCCTTGCTCCACCATTCTGTTTGCCTCGTCAATCACAAGATATCTCAAGTGCTCCAAACGGCAGACATGCTCTTCACCCTGAAATTAAACGCCGCCAGCAGATATCTCTAGAATCATCTATTTGATAGAAAGAGGCTACACTCCAATTTCACCGTTGGGTATATGAAAAAGAAAAAAAACGCCTGGCATTGATGTTTACAGAGCAGTAGAAAATGCTTACAGGAAAAACTTACACGACATTGGAAAACCAAATTCATGCTGAAAACTACACAGGACAACCGATCTCATGAGAAACATACCTACATATACAAGTGTGTGTCGACTGTTTCAGATCTCTAAAAGAAAGTGAATCAGTACAACTTATGATACATGAGGTACTTACCTCGGAAATCAAATCCCACAGTATTCCCGGGGTGGCTACTATTACCTCAGGATACTTGTTTAAAAGCCTCTGTTGTTCTTGAGGTGCCATTCCTCCAACCACAGCAACAATCTTGAAAAAAAGGAATTGTTTACTGATTCAAATAATTTTGAGGTACTTTGTTTGGTGGGTATTTCTCCAATAAAAGATACAAGTTGAAACAGGACTAGAAGGGGCGGCAAGGGAGGGGAGGGGAGGGTAGGGGGTAAATGGTACATCATAGGGGCTAGGATTGTAATTCTCTGAACAAAAGGGTTTTTATATACTTTGCTGGTGAAGGGGCGAAGATAAAATAAATATTTCAGTCCAGAATATGGTACCAAAAAACAATAGAGTTTATGTTTTCAGCACTAACTCATCATTATTTAAATTGCTTAAGCCTATTGTGGCTACAAATTCATGTTTCCCAAAAAAAATAAAAAAATGCTTTCCAAACAAGAGATAGGTTTGCATTCTGCTCCACTGAAAAGAGGAAAATTGAAGGCTCAGGAGAGAAAATTGACTTGGGCCAATTAAAATAAAGTAATAATTGAGTTTCTAACAATGGGAAAACAGAATCTAACTGTGGAGATGACTTCCAAATTGTCAATTTAAGTACATGATGTTACCTCTAAGGATGTGTGTTTTGCAGCCTGTTTAAGATGATTTTTTATTTGTATAGCCAATTCTCTGGTTGGTGTCATTATCAATGCCAGGAGTGGTTTCTTGAGCTTGGATGTTCCATTACCAGTTTCTGTGGCTTTTGTAGCATTATTTTTGGTAGTATTTTTTGTAGTTTCACCTGCTTCTTGACTGGACTTGTGGCCAAGGATGTGGGTGAGAATTAGAATCCCAAAGGCTTGTGTTTTACCTGAACCCTAATAAATACATAAATTTTTAAATTAATATCCTTAAATAATAACCTCCTCAAAAATCAGCCATTCCTGGAAGCTAAACTTCTCCCAAGTGATTTTATCATAACTTCAACAGACAATTTCAAGGCATTATCCAATGAATGATATGAAAACTACGAAACTTACAACCTGAAGGGACTTATCTTGACAATCTTATTGTAATGCACATTTTTGTATAATTAATGTTCCATCAACCAACTATAGGAAGATATAGAATGCCTACATAAAGAAGGAAGAGCTATTACATTAGTTCTTAAGAGAGCAAAATTTAACCATCAGTCAGTCAGTCAGTCAGTCCTCTCTCTCTCTCTCTAGAGGTACATCATACACATACTTTCAGCTCAACAGCTCTCCTCAAGAGTGCTTTTACAAAAGTCATATTTATAATTATTCAACAATCACTTAATACTTAGACATTAATTCAGGTCAAAGACCAGCTCTAAAGTAACAGAAACTGTTTGCCATAATGTGTGGGAAAGTCTTCTTACACATAAATGAGCTAAATGAGCTAGGTGTAGATCATAGTAGACACATGTACATGTTGAAAATTATTTTTTTCCTCTCTCTCTCCCTCTCCAAAAAAAAAAAAAGGATTCTTCAAAACAGTTGTGAAACCAAGTACACAAACAGTACACATAAAAAAGGAGACCTCCACCAATCTAACTGCTCTGATTCAACTCACTGTTTCTGCTGCATCAATGATGTCCCTGTAGTGGAATATTGCAGGTGGAAGGGAGAGAGTCTGTATAGGGGTTGGTGTAGTAAAACTTTGTTCACTGAGTCCTCTCTGAACTTCTTTGGGAACACCTTAAGTGAGACTTGCTGAGAGTTCATGTTAAGAAGAACATCATTCATCACTTTCCGCATGGCTGTTTCCGTACCGTTACTCGGTTACTTATGAGCGTCAGCGGTGGTTATGGCGGTCAGACGTGTTTCGAGCTTGTCCGTAATTTTAATAAGTTTTTCGCTGTTAGCTTTGTTCTCTGTCAACTTATACTCTCTCAAGCTCTCGAAGAATGTTCAAGTGCATTACGGGGATAAATTTTTCAAGTATTTCAACTCATACTCGGTCGATTTCAATCTAATTTCGCCAAGGCATATGTCACGGATCGGCGGCCATTTTGTCACCTCACCTCACAAGAAGTTTCAGAAGTCAAGAGTGGCGTACTATTCGAACTGTACGGCTTCCTTCAACCCGGTTGCTCTTTCTGTGGTTAGAAGTGGAGACATTCATCCTCATCCAGGACCTCACAGGCAATGTAACTCGACTTGTAAATCAGCCGTCCGCCATGACAGTTCTCGTAAAAAATGCAAGGAGTGTGATCGGACGATTGCTAGAAATCACCGTGCAACCATATGCGACTGCTGCTCGTTGTGGTCTCACATTAAATGCGGTGGTGTGACCCCTGAGCAATATCTAATTTTGCAGTCGTCTGGCAGTACATCGCACACTTGTGAGTCATGTATGGAGGCTCTTCGCCAATTACCTTTTGCGGACTCGAGTTTAAACTCCAGCACAAGTACCAACAGTTCTACTGGATCATGTTCCGACGATGAAACATGGAGTGAATATGATGCCTTGATTAAGAAACATTGGACCAACATTAAAATCGGACATGTTAATGTGGACCATATTGCAGGTTTTAAATTCTTTGAGGTCAAGTATTGGCTATTAGAAGGAAAGTTTGATATTTTAGTACTTTCTGAAACGAAGCTGGATTCCAGTTTTCCAGATAGTCAATTTATGGTCACCGGATATCGAATGTGTAGGGCTGACAGAAACACACATGGCGGTGGTTTATTGGTCTATATCCGCGCAGACCTCTGCTTTAAAGTCATTAAAGACCTTCCCAATCTTCGATTATGTGAGCGTGAACGGTACAAGACTGAATCGATTGTGCTGAAGGTGAGGATAGCTAAGAAGTGGGAAACCATCGTCGGTTTCTATAGACCTCCAACATCTGCGTCTATCCCACAATCGCTATGGAAATTTGAACTATCTTCAATACTTGAGGCGATCACAATACTTCCTGGTAACTGCTTTTTCGTAGGCGACTTTAACTCAGATATGTTACTACCAGACAAGCCGCCAAGGGATGGTAGAGTTATGGCAAACCTACTTGATATTTACGACTTGAAGAATTTAATACATGAAGCCACCCGTATTACCAAGACATCAGAAACCCTACTGGACCTTTTCTCACTGACAACTTGAGAAAAATACAGTCATCGGGCGTAGTCCATGTTAATATAAGTGATCACTCTCTTGTGTTTGCCATGCTCAGGGCATCGGAACCGAGAATACGATCTCGGAAAATACAATTCAGAAGCCTTAAAAATTTTGATAAACAGCATTTTCTACATGATTTGCATAATTTTCCTTTCCAAGTAGCTGAAATATTTGACGACGTTGACGATAAGCTCTACGTGTTTGATTGTCTATACGAAGACATTCTTGGTGAGCATGCACCTTTGAAACAGGTCCGCATAAGGGGAAATCAAGTTCCCTTTATGAATGAACAATGGCGCAAAGCTATTCGTCAGAAAAACCGTTTGTGGAAACGTTTCATTCGCGAAAGTTATTCACGATGTCGTGATAACAGACAAAAAACAAATGGCGGAGCTTTTAATAGTTATTTTGTCAACATCGCGGACGGCGTGCCAGAGATTACTGAACAGAGTTATGGAAAAGAGTTGGATGCGCATCCTAGCATTCAGGCGATTTTCAACAACAATGAACAGCTCGCTGTGAGAAACAAATTTGCTTTTCAATATACTAATAAAACCCAAGTGGAAGCTTTGTTACTCGAAATCAACTCCCGCAAATCCTGTGGTCATGACGGAATACCACCGCGACTGGTAAAAGAGTCTGCCAACGCGATTGCTGGTCCTATTGCTGCAATAATGAATCACTCGATCAGGACAGGACAGTATCCGTCACGCTGGAAATTAGGTCAAGTTACTCCTTTATTTAAAAAGGACGATGAACTGAACAAAAGCAATTATCGACCAGTGACCGTTTTACCTGCGCTCAATAATGTTTTCGAGAGGCTGCTTTCAGCTCAAATGGGCGACTTTTACCAAAACATATTGTCCGAATACGTATCTGCCTACAGAAGGCACCATAGCTGTGAGACATCTTTGCTTAGGCTGACTGAGGACTGGAGGCGTAGTCTAGATAATAAAGAGATCGTGGCGGTTATATCAATGGATTTGTCAAAAGCTTCCGACACCGTACCTCATGCTTTGCTACTAGCGAAACTGAAAGCGTATGGTTTGCATGAATCCAGCTGTGCCCTTATCGGTGACTACTTGACGGATAGAATGCAGCGAGTGAAAATTGGTGATACTTATTCGGATTGGATGAGCGTGAAGCGTGGCGTGCCTCAAGGCAGTGTCCTGGGACCCATGTTTTTCAACATGTTCCTCAATGACCTCATCTTTCACATTAAATCTGTAAAACTAAACACTTATGCTGATGACTGCCAACTGTACACATCTGACGTAGACCCAGTAGCCTTGGAACAGCGGATCAATCATGATGTACAAATAGCAAACAAATGGTTCGAAGACAATGGGATGAAAGCCAATCCCGCTAAACACCAAGGGATGGTTCTTGGCAAAACCGATTACCCTTTCTCCTTCTCAACCACAAGATGCCTGGAACTTTTTGGAATAATTCTTGATAATGAACTTAATTTCAAGGAACACATATCCTCTGTATGTAAAAAAATAAATAATCAGTTCAGTGTCTTCAAAAGATTTGGCAAACTTATTTCTACCGAAATTATGCTTCGCCTTTATAAAACGTTTATGTTACCCCATTTTCACTACTGTTCAATGATATGGCACTTTTGTAATTCAGAGGACTCTGTTAAACTGGACACTTTAAATAGAGGTATTTTAAGATTTGTTTTAAAGGACTGGGACTCGAACTATGATGATCTTTTAGACAAGGCAGGAGGATACAAAATATGATGATTTGTATATTCAACTGTCTCCATCTTGGTAAATATCCGTGCTATTTGAAACAACTGATCAAGCTAAGATCTACTGCTTACTCCCCAAGGGGCACCAATATTTTATCACTTCCTAAGCCGTTTACAACCACATATGGTCTAAATTATTTTAGCTATTCATCTGTTAAGTACTGGAACTCCCTCCCTGACCACTTTAGAAAGACTGTAGGTTATAGTGAATTTAAGCGCAAACTGTTAGTGCACGGTTTCTGTTACTATTACATTAATATTACATTATATTATTATATTAATGATTATAATATTATTATATTATGAATTATTTTTTTCTCTTTTTAGCCTTGTTCTTGCTGTAACTTTTAAAATTAGTAATTAGGATCGGAGATACTAGCTTGTAAGCTACACTGAAATCCGAGGATAAATGAAGCTTATGTATGTATGTATGTACCAAGGACTTCCCAAGTACTAATATCTACCATGGGCTCTGAAGTTTAGTTCATTCAAAATAAATGATTTAGCTATAAAATATGACTGCATCTTAAACTCATAGTGTTGGTGGGAAATATCATTTTATTACAGTTGAACATAATAAGTTATTTGTATCTGCATAGATATGAAATATGTTTATAAAGGTTTCATAATCTAAATTAATAAACACTTAATTAATAAATAACAATACAGTAATAAAAAACTTATCAGTAAAATTACATTATTTATTATACCCATTTTGAAATCACTGGTGGTCCCTGTAATCTGATTGGCTCTAATTGATGCAATTTATTGATGAATCACATCATTTTTCGCCTTAAATCACATCTTTTTTCCAGCCAATGAGGTGGCTACACTAAAAACAAAACAACCAATCAAATTTCAAGGCTTGTTTAAAGTAACTGATCAAATTGCAGGAAAATGAAAGACAAAGAGTATCACGTGGCAAATTTTGCAACTTTTGTTTCCAAAACTCTTACTTTCCCCCCCCCCCCAAAAAAAAAAAAAAAAATGGGTGAATTTCATTTCAGACCAGCTCAGTACTGCAGCAATAAAATATTTGAACTTGCCAAGTCCTGTATTTGGGTGATTTCAAAATGGATGTAATAAAGTGGTAATTGAACCTCGTGTCATGTCTGAAATCATACTTGTGATTTCAAATCGCACTCATGCTGTGCACTCGTTTGATTTTGAAATCACGCATATGATTTCAGCCCAAATTGCACTCCACTTAGTTCAATTACCATTACTTATAGAAAATCATGTCTTTTCCAAGATAACATTATCTACACAAAATGTGTTTGATTCTCTTCTTAATAATAAAATTCAAGGACAATCATTAGAGTAAAATTGTACTTTGTTTTGTGCATTTCCCATCCATAATTCCTAAAATTAAATCTTACCTGAAGGATCTTCCACCAGTCTATTGTCAGTGACCATTTCTACTCTGTTTTGCTCTTCTGACTGGGCTTTACTTTGGGCCTTGTTTTTCTTTTTCCTCTTCTTTTTTCCCTTTGTCTGTTGGTCATTCTTTGTGCTTTTTCAAGTTGTGTGGATGGTATGGTAACTGTTTGTTCCAGATTATCCTGAAGATTTAAATCAAAAGACAATACTATGTAGCTTTTTTTTTTCCCCGTTAGCCAAACTTCTAGAGAAAACCAAAGAGAAGCTTCTATTCTTAGATATACATAATTGTGCATGTATGGGTAAAGACTGACAAAATGCATGAGCCCTTGGGACAATGCAGTCTGCTGTCTTCAAAAAAATTAGGACAAACTGCTCTCAAAATGATTTCAATCAATTCCTGTATTTCCATGTAGTTCTTGTGGTGAGTGTTGTTGTTGTTTTTTTTCTTTTTGTTTGTTTGTTTCTTTTCTCATTTAAGGTATGACTAGCAGTTATCTTAGTTTTGATTCTCATGTCCAATACACCCAATCTGACTCAGGAGACAAGTCATTCCATTTGGGTCAGGTTGAGGATTATTATTAAGCGTCTTGAAAATCCTTAAGAGGCACGGTTTATTCAGATTTCCAGTATCACAAGATGACCTAACCACTAATTAACTTCTGGTGTGTCGATTTGTGAACGACTCAACCCAATTTGGATGTATTGGACAACCCTCAACATTTAATAATTAAAGATGAGTTATAATAAAAAATAAATAAACAAAAAAATTTAAAGAGATAATTTTTTCCCAATTTCTCGTAAAATACAAGGGTAATTTCACTACGTGCTTGAAGTGAATCTTACATTTGTATCTTCTAAATTTAACCATGCGGTATGTTTTAAAGCGTTTTAAGCAATTCACCTCCTGCAGCGGCCGTTCTTTTATTTTCTTCTTCTGAGCTGGTCCACCTGCACCAATTCCGCAAAGAACGAAGGATCGTCCAATTCTACTGGTTCCCATTTTTGCGTCTTCCCTTTCGAATTCTTCTTTGCCATTATGGAGCAATGAGCAAAGAGATTTAATTGAGAAACTGAATGTAAACGCTCTTTTAAATAACAAACAACCGTTTTTGTTTATCCCCAGAGAATTAATAAAAACACACTCACGTCGTCCGCCATTATGGATTACCCGCCAGAGAAGGACTGGATAAGAATTTGTACTGCGCGCATATTCAAACAGGAGCTATTCGCTGATTTATCACTACATGCCTTTTCTCCCTTCACCGAGTTAGCTGAAACCTTTGTGAAACGTGAATGAAAAGACTAACATGGCGAAAGAACACCGTACATTCAAATAGAAGTGCTCTTATATTGAGTGCTTCAACGAAATTTCGTTTCTTATCAAGAAAGGCTTTGTCCCAAACATGAAGGTAAGTGAACGCGCGCCAAACATCAGATCGGAAGCTCATCTTCAGCTGAGTAGCGTGCGCGTCAAAATACACGTCTAACGATTTAATACGTGAGAATGTTGATAATAAGCTATAATTATCGGAATAAATCCCCTTACACCCGCCATATCCGTCAAAGTAATTTCCTTCTTTGAAATAAGTTTTGTCACAAGGAAAATTGTTTCTGGGACAACTAGATTTTGCTCTCCCCCTCCCCTCCACCTTTTCTGCCCACGTTACGATCAAATCCCAGCCCCCTGCCCCCCTCCACGTCTCTCATATCAGAACTGTTTTCTTTTTTTTATTTGTTTGTTTCAATCAGTGAATTCACGAACTACAGTCAAACCTGTCTTAGGTGGCACCGTATTAAGCACTCGCACTGTATTAGACGCCATATTCCCGTGGGTGACTGCTTAATACAGGGTTGACTGAACTGGACAAATAAATTTTGTCCTCACTTCCTCCATCAAACCCAGATTATATCCATTTTGTTGCCATCCCCCCTAATTTCTCTCCTTTTCCCCTAGTTACAGACTGTGGTGTTTTGCTGGAAATTGTTGACGCAAGAATGTCCTAATAAGTACTGGATTAGGATGTTCTAATTAATTAGTACCATGGACAAATTTTTACATACTGTTTCAGATACAAGACTTGAGGTGTACATTGCAACTATTCAACTCTAAAGTTCAAACTATTCTTTTCTTTTTTTTTTCTTTAAAGGTTGAAGGTATTTTAGATATATAAACAAGCTGCTCAAAAAACTAATGTCTGATGAGCTGAAGCACTGGGCTGGAACTCAAGGTACAGTACTTTAAACATTTGGAATATAATACTGTTTTATTTGCTGTATTTGTCTTATTCCTTTTATACAATTAAATTAAATTGCTCTCCAGGTATTGGTGGTTTCCTTCCTGGTGTAAGGCAGATTGCAAATGTTGCAGCTTTGCCTGGAATTGTTGGTGTAAAAATGATCATAACTTTTTCTTGTTGAAATTACAACTTAGTTGAATTGAAACTTGTTCAGTCCTGGGCCCAGTTGTTCGAAGGCTGATAAGTGCTAACCCAGGGTTACATTTTAATCAGGGTATGTTTAATCCTTTGTTTAAAAGCCTTTTAAAATAATTTACCATAGTTTTTTTTGGGCATCCAATCATCAAATTGCAGACTAAAGGAATTGTACATGTAGACTGAATTTCATTTGAAAGGTTTCAGATATGAAATCATATTTTACACTGACCATTAGTTATCTAAACTCAGCTTTTAATAAACTGACCCTGTACTCTTGGGAAGCAGAGAAAGTATAAAGTGGAGATGACAAAAGAGTTTCTTGCTATACAGTTTGTGTTTCCATAGAATTTTTACACAAAGATTTCACTTAAAGTGACGCCAAATAGAGCATCCAGTTATCCAGTTAGATCCAGTTATCTCATGCACGATCTTGAGAACACATGCAAATCAGTTTTTCCGCTTTAAGCAAAAGCCCTTAGAACTGTTTTTCTAGGAGTTTTCTTAAGTTCCTGTTTATTTCCCTCAAAAAACAGGAAAACTGAAAGTGAAAAAAGGCCAATAGAATTAAAAGGCTACGTTCATTATTTAAACTTTATGTGCTGTTATTTACCTTGTCAATGCAGTTCCTAGGCCACTCATGCAGATCACAACACAATGACTCAGTTTAATTCTAGCCATTCTAGAAATAACATTCCTTCACTTCTTCTTTGCTTATGGACTACAATGCTTTTACTGTCACTTTGATACCTATTTTTCGACGGTAAACCCTGTTTCAACAGGAAAAGAAAGCTGTTTAAAGGTGAAATCTGAGTAGAAGGAATTGCTTTCTACCATTGGAACACTGTTGAAACACCATACAAACTTGTTTCCAATACCTCTAAATATGGTGCTGCAACCCTGTCAACCCTATTTTTCACAGCAACTCAGGTATCAAAGTGATGTCAAATTGTTGGTGTGACTGAAAACCCTGTTTCAACGGGAAAAGAAAGCTGTTTTAACAGTGAAATCTGACAAGTAAGAATCATTTTCCACCATAAATGAAAAATGAAAATGATAATCAGAATGATTTGCATATTTAGTTCAGGGCATGAAATTGCACCTAATACAGGTGCCAATGTGACTAAATTTTTCACTTTGGCGACCAAATCCTGAAAATCAATCGCCAAATTGGCGACAAGCATGTTTCATCATAACCTTACCGAGAGATTTAGTGAATTAAAAAGATTTGCAAAGATAAATCCGTGGCAAACTTCCTGGTTAAGTTTGTTTTCAAAACACAGCACGTGCATTTCAATCAATGACTTGATGCCAGCTTGGATTTAGGTGAGCTTGAATGTTATTTATCATCCATCCTTGTGTTCACTTTGGAGCACTTTAAAGATCTTTTCCCTAGTTTAATTTTGGAGGGTCTATCTTGGACTGTGACAGCATAAAAAAGGGTTTTGTTTGTCTTTGAAAATGGCAACCAACTTTTTTTGAATTGGCAACCACTTTGAAGAATTTAGGAGCCTATTGGCTATCAGAAAAAAAAATTAATTTCACGCCCTGTAGTTAGAAAGAAGTAGTCAGCTTTAGGGGTCTTTAGGGCTTTTGAATTCTGATTAGGTATTGTTTCATCATTCTTGTTCTATTATTTTATGTCAGCGCTGTTGAGTTTGTGTGCCGCTGCACAGTAAAGATAAATCAAGAAAGCCTGCCTGTTGGTTTGTTTGTTTGCACTTCACGAATGAATGAAGATACAAATAGTACAGAACAGAAATGAAGAAGCCCCCTTTTACTTTGACATAGTTTGAAAGTAACCTACCTTGAACTATGGAAAATCCCTCTTTGAACATTAACATGATTTGAATTAATTTAAGCCATGAGTTCAACCTAGTATGGTATCTGGGATTGTGGCTTAGTCATTGTTATGGGTGGCCGTCACCACCAAAAATACCAGGATGTCAAATAGATCAGTAAAAACAAAGCTGGTTTAAGGATCAGCTGCAGGACAGCATAGCTAATAAAGGAATGGCATGGCCAAATTGTAGACAGTTTAGTTTTCCTTCATGAAACAGAACACCCTAAACATGAATAGTTTAGCCAAATGATAAACGGTCTAGTTGCCCATGTCGAATTGGAAATCGAAATTGTGAAATGGACTAGCTCAATTGCAAATAACTTAGCACTTAGGGGCGGTCACCACCAAAAATACCAGGATGTCAAATAGATCAGTAAAAACAAAGCTGGTTTAAGGATCAGCTGCAGGACAGCATAGCTAACAAAGGAATGGCATGGCCAAATTATAGACAGTTAACTTTTCTTTCATGAAACAGAACACCCTAAACTTGAATAGTTTAGCCAAATGATAAACAGTCTAGTTGCCCATGTCGAGTTGGAAATTGAAATTGTGAAATGGACAAGCTCAATTGCAAATAACTTAGCACTCATTTGCAATACAGTAAACAAATGGTGTAGCGTTGCGTCAAATGGCTCAGGGTAGTGTCAAGTAGCACAGCGTACACACAAACAGTGTAGTGTTGTGTGAAATGGCTCAGTGTAATTTTGAATGGTACAACTTACATATAAACAGTGTAGCATTTGCGTGAGATGGCACTGCGTAAATTCGAATGGTACAGCGTACACACAAATGGTGTGGCATGGCATGAAATGGCTCAGCTTAATGTTGAATGGTATAGTGTACACACAAATGATGTAGTGTTGCGTGAAATGGCTGTTGTTATCAGTATCTGTTGTCTACATTGGCAGTAGAAAACAGACAAACAGAGGAGTTTCTTGATCACAGTGCAAATTTCAGGAAGATAAAAATTACCTTATAATTAAAAAAATATGTGCAAAAGACATTATAGTTAACTAAAACAATTCTACTGTATAAAATAGTGGGAAATGTTTGTTTCCTGTGTTTACACAAAAACTAGCAACTGTACAGTGCAGAACCCAGCTAGTCTTGAACTCTCGAGGGAAGCAACAATTTGCTCAAGTCATACAGCTGGGAGTTTGAGATAGTGGGGTAAATTTGTCTGTGAAACAGGAACAAGGGATGCTGCTCTTTGTTTGAGATAGGGAGTTTGAGATAGCCAATGGTTATGACTGAGAAAAGCAGGGCAAATCCAAGGGAAATGGGTTTGAGTTTGAGATAGCTCGGTTCAACTGTACCATATTTACCTGTGTATAATATGCACTTTTTTCTATAAAAATAACCATTAAAATCACAGTGTATTATACACAGATTCTATTGTTTGTCAAGCAGGTCCTAATTGCATACATTAAAAAGACAACAAAAAAAAGTAACAAAAGCCTAGTAGTAACTGGTCTTTATTAGCTTGAGTTAAATAATCTACCAATGAAACATTTTCAATTTTGATCCACAAACACAACAAAGAAAGTAACAAAAGCCTCATAGTAATTGGTCTTTATTAGCTTGAGTTAAATAAGCTACCAGTGGTGCCTAACCTTGAAGGTATCTCACAGCATTCACAGCAAACAGTCACCAAATTAAGTATTAATGTGTCACAGTAATGCAATTTTTTAGATGCACATTTACTTTACTATTACTAGTAATAATTATTTTGTACGGTGCAATTCCCAAGTGGCAGTTGTGACCACAACATGTGTACACTTGCTTAATGGCAATTGTCACAAGAAAATACCAAATGCTTCTACACTGCATGACCCTGTATGCATTATAGATATGTTGGTCTAAAAGAACATAAATATAGAGATTTTAAAAGCATT